ATCTGTGAAACAGATCCAGTTCAGCTGCTGTTTATCTATTAGTTTCTGTGGAGGCTATGGAGACACTACCAGTGGACGGTGTGGGCGGGGCTCAGTATAGTGATCTTTATATTTAAGTCTATGTAAACGAGCCAAAAATCTAATGTCTAAGTGGCTGAAAGAGCTGAAGTGGTAGCAGTCAAAAGGAAAWCTGTGAACGCTGACTCAGCATTCACACAATAATTCATTTCTTGAACATGTATTTTTTTCTATAAGTCACTAAAGTCTGTGAACAGGAAGTCCTGAAACATGTGTGAAAACCTCCAGCCTGCCTGTGGTGACTTCCTKTCACCAACAATAAATTCTCTCTGATGATCCTGAGATGATCTCATGACGTTGCTTCAGTCGTTCAACATCAAAGATGTCAGAATGACCCGGAGACGTTCTCCGCTCTGCTCTGACCTGAGAACAGCCTCAGGATCCAGATCGACCTGAATCCACCTGGAGCCAAGGTTCAGCCATAATTCTGRCATCTAATAATTCAAATTAAAACCTACGATGAGATGTGACAACTGAACGCTGCAGTAAAGAATCAGCTGTTAGTAACACAGCTGATAGTTATTAAACTCACAGAGCTGTTTTATTATCTGTTTAATTTCATTTGGTTTTTACATTTCTGTCCCATCAAATGAAAAGCTGCAGTAAAAAGAGGACTTGAGATGGAACAGAACAGGTAGTTTGACCTGGAAGACACTTAAAAGTGCACGTTGGAGTGCACGTTGGAGCGCTCATGTGCTCTGCTCCCTGCTGACTGGAAGCACTAACACAACCAAACTGCTAATTTCCATAATGACAGACCTAAAGTGCTTAAAYAGGCTTTAGAAAATGTCTGAGTGAGAAACTTAATCCAACGTACAGTTTAATTCAGTCTTTGTGGAGAGAGGATTAGAAACAGGAATAATCTCACTCTCAGATGGAAGCAACAGAAACAGAGAAGAGAAAACTCTGACTTAAACAAAGTGTTTCCAAACAGAACTGATTCATTTTCAGTTACAGAGAAAACAAAACGCATCAAATCTGTTTATGATGAGAAATGAAAATAAAACAGATTTAAGAGAATATTTGTGAAAATGCTGATTCAGCATTCTCTTGCATTTTTCACTAAATGTGGACTTTGTGCTTTCTTAGCTCCTCAGAATTAAACGGCTGCTCTGATMTTTGTGTTTTTACCTAATTTTATGCTTAAATTTTAATATTTAAATCACTTGAATTTCTTCAAAAACATTTTATCTTTGAAATCTGCTTCAGCTACATTTTTAAATCATCTTACACTACTTTTAGCTTTCAGCTAGTGTTTTGTTCCTTTAGCATTCAGCTAGTGTTTTGTTCCTTTAGCATTCAGCTAGTGTTTTGTTCTTTTAGCATTCAGCTAGTGTTTTCCCTCTTTTAGTATCAACTAAAATGAGGAGTAAAGCCTGAGATGTTGATGCCAGATGCAGAAATGTGACCAATAGCTGTCAGATGTTCGGTTGGAGACCACTCTAGATGATGTGTTTTAGTGTCAGTGTTAGTCCCACCCCTCCATGAAGCCCCTCCCCCYCCTCCAGGTTTGTGGCAGCAGGTATAAATCTTCTCTGCAGACTGTAAAAGCTACAGTATGACTCAGCAGTTTTCTGCAGGGKCAGATGCGCCTCACAGATGTGCAGAGAACATCTGGATCTGACTCCTATTGTTGAAGGAGCAACAATCAGAACCGTCAGCCGGGCCCGCTCTGTAAACCTCTACAATCCACGGCTCTATGTGTAGAAAATGTGACCTCTAACCTGTTTCTGCATCCTCAGAGGAGACCACATCAAAGCCTCGGCTGCGTGAACCCGAGCTGCTTCTGTGCGCCGTGCACGGCTGAGCTGCCGCACAAAGCTCCCACATGCAGGTTTTGGGTAAACATGAGATCAGAGTATGGGTTCAGACACAGCCGAGTGGTTTTACTGAACACGGAAACGGGTCGGGTCCACAGAGGACATGTTTATAGTCAAGCAGAGGACAGCTGCAGGAGGATGGAAGGAAAACGCCTCAAAGCACCAGAAATATCTGAAACCTTCTGGGCTTTGAAGGAAGAGTGAAACAGTGCTCRGGTCAGTGGTGTTTTACCTAGCAGCTGGACTCCACGGGTCAGACCGTAAACATCGATGAGGGCCCAGAGGGGCTCGGCGGTGCGGACCCCGCTGAAGAACAGCATGGGGCTGGACTCRTTGATCCGGTAGAAGACTCGACCCTTCTTGTCCACCCAGAAGGCGATGACGTTTCCCTCGTTGGCGAACTCCTCGGGCAGCGCCTTGGCCCAGAAGCCGCTCTGCGACACCAGGTCCGGGCAAGCGTACTTGGGCAGGTTGTCCGGATTGATCCGGGCYGGGTCTTTGGAGGTGAAGCCCAGACGCAGAGCTCCGCTCCAGCAGCACTGCTTTTTAGTGATCTGAGAGGAAAAGGAGGCCGGTGTTAGAACAGTCAACACAAAGATCTGGAACAGTTCAGGAAGAAGGCCCGGTACCTTGAGGCGGACCTGTTCGTACAGAGCCACGGGCCGGTTGCTGAAGGTGATGGCRTTGCAGAAACTGGCCTGCCTYTTCACGGTCCTCTGAGCCAGGTCCATGATGATCTGGGATCCCTTRGCGTTGGGGTGGAAAAGGAGGGGACTGACGGGGAAAGGACCGCCGATGCCGCCGCAGTGGATGGGCAGGCATCGTTTGGGTTTGTGGTGACAGCGGTGGGACGTGGACGGGAACGGGCCRCCGAGAGAATCTGAGGCAGAAGAAGAAAGAAGATTCAGACGGTTAAACTGTTTGAACAAACTTTATGAGTTCAGATAGTTGATTCTTTTTCTTGTAGTGATCAGACATTGTGTGCTTCCACCCAAAGCCCAGCAGCCAAACGATGTAGCGGTCCAGGTGGGACCAGAACTGGAGCAGGTCTCAGCKAATCTTCAAAGCTGCCGACCTCCAGATTAAAATGACTTCATTATTAATCTACAACTGAACCAACACCTCGAGACAGAGCATCCTAATCTCAGGCTGTGTGGCAGGTTTTCYGTTAAATAAGATGCAGAAGGTTTTATATTGAACATTCAGAAATACAGACATGTTCATTTATTTTTGTGTCACCGTTTCTGTGGAGTTCAGGTGAAAAGGACTTTTTGATTTTTGTGAAAGATGTTGGATTATGGACTGTTTTGTTCCTATAAGAGCAGAAGTATTGTTTTTATTTGTCTGATTGCTGCATGACTCTGTGCAGCCAAGCCGACTTGTCTGCTGAAGCTCAAACTGATGAAAGATTCACAACAAGCGAATTTAGTGAAACAGTAGCTAAATCCTTAATTACCAAAATTACAATTATGAAATTGTCTGAAGAGTTTCAAAGATTAAACGTTTTTTAACGAATCTGAAGAAATCTTTGCATTTTCACAAGAAATWCTAAACAAACTAAATATTAGCTGTTGGGTTTTGGACAGTTCAGGTTCAGACCAGAACTTTTTGTTCCTATTTGTCTGATTTTAGAGGCCGAGCTTCAGCAGAACCTAATGTTTACTTTGGAGTTTCTCAGCCTTTTATTTTCTAATTTGATCAAATGTTTGGATAACTATCCATGAAAGKATCATCAATCAGGCAGATCAAATGGGAGATATGATCCTTCCTGTGTTGAAGGAAACTCTGGGATCTGATTGGAGCGTTCTTACAAAAACATTGCTGTGAATGAGTTCTGCAGAGACCCGATCGGACRGGCAGCTAACGGACCAGAACACGCTGTGTTTCTGTTTACACTCTGGACGTGTCTCCGGTCTAATCTGGCTCACAAAGCTTTTGTTTTAGGCRTCAGCGTGCATGGCCTGAATGCTGCACGGCGGGCAGATTGAGCTGAATGCATTAGTGAGCTCTAAAGAGGCGCAGCTGCTGTGGTGTGAATCCAGGTTTCTTAGCAACACCCCACCATATCTGAAGGCCTCAATCAGCTCCGTCTGCAGCCATCATCAGGACACAGATGCCTTTTGTTTACCCACACAACAAAAAGATATTTATAGTCCCACAGTACAGTCGTCTGCAGCGTTTCCTTTCAAACTAACCTTCAGTTGAATAAAACCTTTCCTGCTCCAAACCAGAACACTGAATCCTGCTCATATTTGAGCCAGCATCATTTAAACGGCTCTGCTTCCTGGTTTCAGACTCGRGTTTTAATCAGAGTCCACGGGTTTTCTCTGCTTCAGCTCCTTACTGTATTTTAACCAGAGGTCTACAAAGTACTGGAAAAAAAAAACCCAAGTAAAAGTAAAATTACATGAACAGAAAATGACTTTGGTAAAAATACATTTCACTGATGAGAAAACTACTCAAGTAAAAGTTGTAAAACTTTCACAAAAATTGGGAAAATAAAAGTAAAAGTACTTTTACACACTCTGTAAGAAATAAACTGTTGAAATTACTGAACCAGACTGGTTCCTTTTATACTTTTTGTTCCAAATTTTTGTACATCCTGTTATGATTGTATATCTTTTGATTTCCCTCTGATTGTACAGCACCTTGTGAATCTATTTCTATGAAAGGTGCTATATGAATAAAACTTTACTTACGTACTTACTTCCACTAAAGGTTGAGTAAATTGAGTAATATATGTTTATTCTTTGCTCACTTTAGTGAAACCAGCTGACATGACTGTTGAAGAAATTCAACACTTCATTTTTTAGAGCAGAAACATCTTATTTCCTGATGAGTTCAAACATATTTAATTTGTAGCAAGTAACTAACTGTTACATTTTAAAGTAAAGAAGTAAAAGTATCATATTTAGCTTTAAAATGTAACAAAATAAAAGTAGCTGTTTGAAAAATAATTTATAATATTACAAATCCTTGAAAAAACTACTTAAGTACTGTAACGAAGTAAACGTACTTTACTATAATCCTATCATTTTAATGTTAGTCATTATCACTTGTCGAGGTAAAAAACTTCAGCTTGATCAAATGTCGAGTGTTTTCAGTAAATTTACAGTAAATTCAAACTTGTTTTTAGAAACTGCTGCAGCTGTTTGTCGTAGAAACGTTCCACCCTGAAAAAAGAACCATTCTAAATAAAAGAAACATTCAGACCTTCTCACCACGATTTTAAATTGTTTAAAATAGTTTTCCCTGCTCCTTCCACCTCCTGTTGTTGCTGCTGAGGAATTCTCCTAAAGACGGACCAGACMTGCTGGTTTAATTTTGAGGTTTTCGCAGCACCACCAGGTCAACACGTTTGGCCTGGAGCTCTGATTCTGTCAGAACACAAACAAATAAATGAGTTTGTGTTTAAGTTCTTGTTTCCAGCTCCTGTCGAGGCTTGAAAATATCAGATGAGGTAAAAACACAGCAGCCTGGAGGTTAACGTCTGGTTTCTCCTGTGACCCTGAACGTTACGCCTCTTTATGAACCAGGTTGTGTTTTCAGTGTTAASACCGGGGCAGGAGCCATTTTGGTTTAGGAGCAACAGAAGCTCCTATTTGTTTTTATTTGTATTTATCAGTGAAGCTGAAAACCTCTCTGCTCTGGTCGGTACTGATGTTCAGCTCAGAGCTTTATGACTTGAAGAAAAAATGTTCAGATATTTGCTCAGCRCTGAAACTCACTTCCTGTTTCTGCTGAACAGCTGTTGAAGCTTCACACCAAATTACTTCTACAATCAAAATAACAAGAGCAGTTAGTAGGGGAGACTAAAATACCTTTTAGGAAAAGTTCTTACGGTCAGCTGTGATTTTCTGTTCCGACTTCACACTACCATTAGAACTTTAAATATTTTATCCATTAAAGTACTTGTGACATCAAATTTTTGAGATAAACATGAATGCATTTTTGTAAAGATAACATTGATAACATATTGCATAAGAAATTTCACGTCACTCAAATGGACGGTTGTTGAGATATTTGCATGAGATTAAACAGGAAGTGATGTCACAGGGGAATGTCTGCATGCAAACAGTTAACGAACACACACTGTAGAGAAGAATCTGATGTTTCTTTAGATCAGTGATTCCCAAACTTTTCAGCTTTTGACCCACAAAATAACAGTAGCAGAGACCTGTGACCCCAACTATTTTTGGATGATGAACATTTGTATCAGGTCAACAAAACATGGGCATAGTAACAATATTTTTCATACTACATTTATCCATTTAAAATATACTAACCTCACTCCTTTGTAACAACTAAGGCAAAAATGTAACTAATTCAGAAAATCTTTTCAGGACCCCACCTTGATATTTCGGGACCCCACTTTGGGTCCCGACCCCAACTTTGGGAAACACTGGTTTAGACTTTCAAATCCAGCATCATCCCGCCTTCCTCTTTTGATACCCAGGTATGGAA